GAGGTTGAACTTGTTTCTCTGTGGACGGGGACACTGGTGTTGATGGTTGAAACTTGGACACAAACAGGTGTTTAAACTGGGAAATGGTCCCAAACACACACACAAAGCTGGATGTGGATAAAGCAGACTAACACCGAGCTACTGGAATGTCTTACCACACCATACCAACTTTATTTATGAAGCACTTTATACACTATATTCTGCAAAGCCGCAATCTTAACCCTGTTGACAATTTGTGGACTACAGGTGATATAAATGAAATACACAAATACTTGTGTGATCAAATATCATCTCAGATCTAGAAACCTGTAATGCTCACGAAGTATGCTTGAAGGTCCAGCCTGCTCAATGTATTCTAAACAATCAGAGGTAAATAATAATAATAATAATAATAATAATAATAATAATAATAATAATAATAATACATTTTATTTCAAAGGCGCCTTTCTGGACACTCAAGGTCACTGTACAAAATATTAAAACACAATGGGAGAAACAAAGTCAAAATACAGAATAAAACCATTAAAAAAATACAAAAACTAATAAGGCAGGGAAATGTAGATTAATATTAAAGACAATAGGCAATTTTAAGCACATGACTTTTGGGTTTTGATTTGCAGCATCTGCAGAGGACAGAGACTGAACAAACTGGTGAGGAGGGACACTTCTACCCTTGTCTGCGCTCTGGACTTGGTGGAGGAAATTGCAGAGAGGAGGGTGCTGTCCAAGCTTATATCCATCATGGACAACACCTCCCACCCTCTGCATCAAACTGTATAGGAGCTGAGCACCTCCTTTAGTGACAGACTTATACACCCTGTTTGTCTTTTATCCCTGCTGCCATCAGACTTTAAAATGTACTGCACTATAACCTGGTTTAATAATACTGCAATAATGTATACTATTTATCTATTTAGCAAACCAGAAACAGCACTTTACCTGTAGCTGTACCACTTTTCTGTACATGAGATACTGTATATATAAAGTCACCTTAAATCTCTTCACATTTTTACTGTATATATCTGGATGCACTGTATATACTTCATGTTCCTTTTCCTCGCTGGTGCACCTTCTGTTTGTTCTATTCTATTCTATACTATAAATGAATTTAGTGGGTATATAACTAATACTTTCAATTGTGCTATGTATATTCAGATAGACCAGAAGGTTAATGAATCTTTTGAAGCACATAAAAGGGACCTACTATCTCGTTAATATAATGTAACGGTGTTACCAATGTCTGCTTTTAAAATCAAAATAGATTTTTGTTTTCAGTTATTGTGTAAAAAAAATGTCATATATGTGCTTCTGTCAGTGAGCCCCAGGGCAGCTGTGGCTACAATGTAGCTTGCCACCATCAGTGTGTGAGTGTGTGTGTGAATGGGGGAATGAATGTAGTGTAAAGCGCTTTGGTCAAGTCTCCTAACTTGAATAAAGGCGCTATATAAGTACATGCCATTCACCATTTACCATTTTACTAATGAGCTGATTGTTTAACTCCAAATTGAACACGATGTTTCCAAACCTTTGGCTCCTTAATGAAGGAAAGAAAAGTGACCCAATGTAACATCGACGTAATGAAACACATTAAATATAACAATGACTCATTTAAAATCGGTCAGCTTTATGGTTTGTTTCTCTGTCTTTGTGTCATGAGCTTATCTTGTGACAAACTGACCAACAGTCAAATGCAGGCCTCTGACTGCTATTGCAAATCCATTAACCTCTTGTTATCAGGTGACTGCAAAGGGGTCATTGTAAAGGATTAGGTAATTAACAACAGAGTATGAGAAAAATTAGGTACAAAAGTAGAAAGAAATATGAAAAATCTTCAGATTTATTTAAATGTGTTGGCAGAGTTTTATAAAAACCAAGTGCTTCTTTAAGACTGTGACACGGAGGTTGAGTCACTGTGTTAGAATGATTTGCGCATTGTGAAATCCTCTGATGTGTAAGGTTGGCAACAAAAGATCCTGACATAAAATGTGTCACTTGCCGCTCCACCCTCCTCGAAGGTAATATCAAAAGGCCAGTTGTTCTTGAAACTAGACTTGCAATCCTTTACAGTCTTAGATTTCATCAAAAGCCAAACTCAG